CAGTCCCCAAAGAGAAACCTCCTCACATTTGTCTTTTCTGTGCTGAACATGAGAACATTGGAACATAAAGAAATCACTGCACCCTCAGGGTTTTGCACAGAGAGAAGGTTGTGTATTCTAACACAAATGTAACAGCAGGGGTTTTGGTATCGTTAACACGCATAGAAAAAAAAACCAACACAAAGCACTGTAACAAAAATACCTCAGAATCACAATTACTTTGGAAAAGAGCTCTGAAATCATTGAGTCCAACCTATGACCAAACACGACCTTGGCAACTAGACCATAGCACTAAGTGCATTATATCTTTAAACACCTCTGGGGTTCTTCTAACCCCCTCTGGAGCCCTTTGCAATATCTAATCACCCTTCCTGCGAAGACCCTATTTTAAACACTAAAAAAAAAGAACCGTGATAATGAGTGATAAGATCATGCTTTTGCACCTTAACCAAGGCTCCCAGTGCAGCACCATGCAGCAACGCTGATGCCATTTAACACCCTGCACCCCGGGCAGGCCTCTTTCCCGTTCATATTTATTGGAAACACTGGCATGACTGGATCCTCACGGCTCTTCCCACCCTCCCTTTCCTCACAAACACAGGATAAACCCTCACCCCCCCCTCGCACCTCACACTCACAACTTTGGCCTTGCCCTGGCAGCTTTAAGCCACTATCCCGAGCCCGGGCAAGGACATCCCGTTCCTCAGCAGGGTCTGCCCCACAGCGCTGACAATACACTCTGTGCTTCCCTCCCCACACTCCAATGTCACCCCCTCACACCCTCAATGTCACCGCGGCCCCCAAGATGGCGGCAGCGCCGCGTCCCCGCCGGCTCCGGGGCGGGCACGGTGCTCACCAGGCCGGCCTGCCGAGGCAGGGAGCGGGCGAGAGCGGCGGCCACGCGGGCGGAGAGCATCGCGGCGGCGGCGGGTCCCGGGGGAGGCGGAGGCTGAGGGACGCTGAGGACGGCCGGCCGCGCGCTCTGCACACAAAATGGCGGCGGCGCCTCACGCCCCTTTTGGCGCCGAGGCCGCGCCCACGGGGCGGGGCGTGCGCGGAACTGCTTCCCGTGCCCCTGGTTGGAGTGCGTGCGCCTATCTATCTATATATCTGTCTGTCTACACCCGAGTATGTAGGAAAGGTAATAAAAATGATACAAATAATTCTAAAAACTTGAATGAGGCTTTTAGGAAAAAAATCCGGCTGCGGGAGGTGTCCTTGAAATGGCCCTGAGCGGGCGGAAGGGGCGGGGAGTGAGGGAGGACCGGAGATGGGACACGGGAAGGAAAACGGACAGGAACTGAGGCAGGGACAGGGACAAGGGCAGGAGTGCGGCAAGGAATGGGGACAAGGGCAGGGGCATGCAAAGGAACAGGGACATCGGCAGGGACAAGGGTAGGAGCACAGAAAAGAACAGGAACATCGGTACGGAGAAGGGTAGGAGCACGGAAAGGAACAGGGACAAGGACAGGGGCACGGAGAGGGACGGGGACAAGGACAGGGACACAATCAAGGACAGAAATGTTACCCCGTGGGCCTGTTCCCCGGTGTGCAGCGCCATTTCACACACTAGGCGAGGTATTTCTATTTGCTTTTCTAGTTAGCACAAAGCAGGTAGCTACGTGTCTACGATACCCATCATCAAAACGTTACTCCGTACATTTCAACAACCAAAGGCGTCAGCATTCGTTGGTTACAAACCGCATACCTTCTCTGTTAGTACCATTCCATGAAATACCACTTCAATTAATTACCACTCAGACCCTTCTTTCCTAGTTAGATCTCTCGCTTCTCATTTTAGTCAGTCTGTTTTGGGTTGGTGGTCAATGAGATGCTGGCCACAGTCTCCCACTGCCAGAATTACTCTTCTCCCAGGTACTGCTCAGTCCTGCTGATTTCAATCACTCGTGGCTCTCATCCAAACAGGCCATTCCTCTTGGAATCGTCTTGATTTCCTTAAAAAACTAAGCCAAGCACACAATGCTCACAATATGCAGCTGTTTAATCACAATTGTCCTGCTACAGCTACTGATTAAATCTTAAGAGGTGCCAATCTGGTGGGGCACATATCAGGGGTAGGGAAAGGGATGAGGCAGTGACAATGCTGTCTGCAAAAATTTGATTCCTTACCTGTTGTGCAATAAGCCAATAATGAGACACACAAGAGAGACATTGATTATTTATTGCAGGGTTGTGCAAGCCTGGGTGCTCAGTGGTTTTCCAGAACTACCAAAAAGCTTTACCATTTATACATTTTAGCATACAAAGCAAGTAGTGTTCACTGGCTATGTGTTACAAAGTTCTTTTAGTAATTAGTATTCTGTTGGCTAACAATTATATTGTTTCTCATGCCCAGTCTTTCTCTTCTCTTGCTTCGGTGGGTTTCTTGGGTCAGTTGTCACAGATTCCCCCTGCCAGAATGTCTACCCAGTCAGAGTTGATTTCAGCACAAGCGCTGGGTTCACTGCATTAGTTTCTTCCTTATCTGGGAAGTTCAAGCAGATGTCCCTGTGGCCTATAAACTCTGTGTTCTTTGTGCCCACTATCAATGGTACATCCTTCCTTCCCAAGTTTTGCTAACCTCCCCCTAGGTCTGAGATCTTAGAAGTATATCAAGCCCTAAACCTTGACAAGGCAATTCTACCAAAAAATCTGTTTTCTCTTAACACATGGACATCACTCAGAGCTCACTTGTTAGCTGCTATCTGTTTCATGGATTAAATCTGATTGGTTTCCCCAAGTATAGAAGCCCAGAAGATAAGACGTGGTGTGCCTCAAACACCAATAGCTGGGTAACTATGGAGCCAACCAAGGACTCTTGCTAACAAGCAAGGTTTGTAGGTAGAAACACAGTGAGGAAGAAGAGGATGTGGTTGGAGGTCATTCAGAGATAGGGCTGTGTTTTTCTGCAACAAACATCCTTTTTCTAGTTCCTGGAGACAAGCACAGCACAGCACAGGAATGAAGGCAAGAACTGGTCTAGGACTGTACAGGGAATCAAGACCTCCAGAGACTCCTAAAGCCCTCCAACCCATTTCCAGAAAGGTCTAGAAGAATGAACTGCAGATGATAAATTTGCATAGGAAGCGAGAAAGTTACCTCCAGGGCAGGGAAACTCGTCCATAAAAGGTCCCCCCACCAAGACTACATGTGCAGGCACCCCAGAACCCGAGACACTCCACCAGCTGGATCAACAGGAGCCAAGCCTGGTGATCTCTTTATTCCTCTCTGCCCCTCTTTAATCCTTCTTCCCTTTCACCCTACCCCTCTATCCAAAAACCAACTGCACAGGCTTATACGAGCAGGTCAGAGACTGACATTAATTTCCATGCTAAGTGTGTAATTTAACTTTGGAAACTTTTGTGAACACTGACTTTTGTCATTCCTTTTGACCATGAGCATCTATGAATCTTGGATGCTCCATTCCCCTAAAGGGTTGGACACTACACCAAGCCATGTCCAACAGTGCCAAAACACTTCCAAGTTTGGGGCATCCACAGCTGCTCTGGGCACCCTGTGCCAGGGCCTCCTCACCCTGATAGCCAGGAATTCCTTCCCAAGATCCCATCCAGCCCTGCCCTCTG